TCCTGTACTCTGATACTGTAGGAAATAGCCTAATCTCCTTTATTAGTTGTTCTTTTCCTGTCCAAGGAACAGTTAGGTCTTTTGCTGTCACTGCTTGGAAGGTGGATTCATATGAGCACTTTCAATAGCATTAGAAATCTAGTATGATTTACTGGGGGCAAGAAAGGCCAGCAATTCCATGAAATGTTTAGTTTAGTATTGTATATGTTCAATGGAGTTATAATGCATCACATCCTGTGCACCCTGCAAAGATAACTAGCTCACCTGTAGTTTCAGAAATGCTCATGCCAGATAAAGGAATGTGGCTCTCCAGGTGTAGCAAATTGTGCTGTAATCAAATATTTGCCATCAAGTATTCTCCCTGTTGCTGTGATAGTCCATCTGCAGGCACATGTCCGTTACTTGTGTCAAAATGAGTGCTGGAGAAGGCCTCTATCTTTAGAGCATATGCCTGCTTCCCATTAAAATGGATGGAGGATCAGAGATTTTTAAAAAAAACGACTCACGGTGACTCACTACAGTGTATCAGTAATAAAATCCATCTAAATTTGGTAAGGAACTCTAGGAACTAATTGCGCTAGTTGTTTACCCGTTTATTTTTTCTAGATGTTTGTCCCTTGCCTCAACAGCAATTATGTACCATATGTTTTAGGCACTACAGAGATAAGATTTCAGTAATGACTATTGTATAGTATTCTAGATTAATGACTTCTGCTCTTGGAAGACTGATTGGTACCACATTTTCAGTCATCTCCATCAAAAACTGTAATAGAATTAGGAATAATAAAAGCTTTCAGAATGCTTTGGATTTTAGTGGTCTTGTGTTACAAAACGTGGAAAAAAAAAAAAAAAGTGTCAATAGCATGTAATGAATTTAAATCACCAAACCTAGTTTCTGTTGGGAGGAGTTCCCATTTACTATAAATCATATATTGGCTACTCCAAAAATTGCAGTTACTCAAAATTTCCTGTCTAAGATTTTAATAATAACATTGCTAGCTGCATGATGGTCTTTCTGTGTCCCTGTCTTTCTAAGAAACCTGATGATCTTCTGGGCCAGAGACTGATTGGGCTTTATTTTGATATTTGCAGTATTGGACCAAAAAGCATTAGATTGAATGAAAATGAAAATTTTTAAGGCATAATTAAGTGATCTAAAAAAAAAGAAATAAATTATTGTCTGTTGTTTTTTCAATTAGAATAATACAGATGTTTACTTTGCCACAAGACAAGGCCTTTTTCAAATGGAGCATCTGTGAAGATGAGAAGCACAGGGAAGTAACTGAGGTCCATAAACTATAATTTATGTTTGCACAACATTTTTAATTGAGAAATGTTATCAGTTATTTCATTCTTGATTAATCCGTAATACTGGAAGTGAACACACGGGTTTCTAGTGTAAGTTAACAGTATTTTCACTTTAATTTTATACACAATTTTTTTAATGTTGAAGAGAATAAATCCTCACGTATCCTTAATTTGTGATGAAAATAATTTTAAAAGATTTTATTTTTTGCTGATCCTACTGTGTTTGCAGCATTGTAGTATGCAGTCAGTTCCTGGGGAGAGTTTCTAGCACCTTTAGGATTAATTAAATTTAATTCCTGAAAATCAAGTTGACAATTAAAACAGAGCTATTGAAGATGCTGAATGTTGCACTTTAGAAACAAGTTTTTCACCACTGTGCATTGTATAAAAAGGAGCTCAAAGAGGATGTAAGGCCCTGATTAAAAAACTCATTGAACTTCTTGGAAGGTGTCCTGTTTGGGGGTGATATATTGGCCTTTACATTGTACTTCATATATTAGGCCAGGAGTTCCCTGAAGTTTTATTCATGCGAGATCATTTCCTGTATGAGATAGCAGTTTAGAAGCTGATGAATGTCTGTGATACAATTTTTTTCTAGAGAACAAGCACAATTTGCAATTTTTATAGTATTTAAAAAAAGAACACAACCAACCAACAAGCAAACCAAAATAATTAGGCAATATACAAAGTCTGTGTGGTCCACAAATGGTCCACAGACAGTTTTCTTGCGCACACCAACATTTTAACTGTTTCAGTGAAAGATAAAACAGTTTAATCCTTCAATACCTATGCGAAGATGCTAAGTAGGAAGCAGAAAACCATAAAGGCAGAAGTAAAAATGGGTCCGCTGTGAGTTGAAGCTGTTAGTGAAAGTAATGATATCTTTGTGTTTATGGGTTAGCAATAAAATTCCTCTTTGCAGAGGGGTAATTCAGGCTTATGCGTTATTTAAGTGTGCTATCAATGTGGCATTTTTTCATATGCTTTACATTTTAGCCAACATTAAAGTCAAAAGTCAACTTAATACTTAGGGCGGTACTTTTTCCTTTCATTATTTCTGTTTCAGTATGTTGTCAGAAATGAAATTGGAAATACTCAAAGCAGCTGTGGACTCAGCACCTGTATTCAGATGTTAAATGTAAATGATGGAAGCGTCTTTAAAATGTCCTCATAAAATGATAACATTTGCTCTGTATTTAAAGAAGTTGAATTTTCAAATTACAGATTTGCTTTCTTATGATGATGTTATCAGAAGGCATATAAAGTCATTGTCTCACTTTCATTTGTGATTATAAAGCAGTAAGTTTATTTTGGAAGTTACTAATTTGTATCTAATTGGGATGGAGGGAGGGAGGCTCTAGTTAATCTTGTTTATGTTCCAATTTACCCTTGGATGCTTTATCAAATCCAAAGGAAAGACAGATTGTGCAGAATTTGAATCAAAAGTTATCTTCAAGTTTTAACAAGATTCCTATTTAAAATACAAAAGAGACAAAACACATCAAGGTAGCTATTGTCACTTTGCCCCTAATTCATATTATTAAATCAACTGGTATGTCTAATCTGTAAAATCAAATGCCCATCTCAAGTCTTTGCCAGACTAAGCAGAGCAATTTTGAGAGAGGTTATAGTACCTTTGGCAGTGTTAGCTAAAAAGCATATTATTTGAACAATTAGTTTTATCTTCTGTTCCTAAATTTTCTCTCGCAATTTATTCTGTATGATCTGTGCAATGTCCAACATGAGCATTGTCTGAGCATCAAATGTCTGGTATTTAGTGGTGATAAGTACCTTCCAGTCTATTAATAGTCATCATTACCCTTAGCAGCTCCCATCCTTTGAAGATGAAGATTTTTCAGTGTTATCCTTGGAGTTTTCTTTACTTCTTTCATAATACTGTTAGGCATTACTGGCAAGTACAGTTACGTCATCACTACATTTTGCCTCAGGGAGGATGAAATGATGGCTCTGTACATGGGATTTACATCAAAAGGAAAACAAAATTTTGACAAAGCTGTGCTATTCTTGTTTAGACAGAACGGACAGAGTGAAACCTCTCCCAAAGTACAGCTGCTTGTATTACTATGATGGAATACTTTATTTACTGCTCTTGCAATAAAAAAATAATTTTAAGAAAAGCAATGTGTGATATAATCCATCTAGTGACATGATATAATCTACCTGACTGGAGACAGGCCTGGCTACTTGCAGTGTAGCTGCAAGGTTATAATCAAGTAGAAGCAGGTGGTTTTCTGCAAAATCTCAAATGGGATTCTTCTTAGCTGCCTAACAACAGAGAGGTGGCTTGTCATGCTCACTTCTCCCCATAATCTTTACATATGCATGAAGAAACAGTTTTCTTGTGGTTGTTTAATTGTTCAAGGGTTGATGCTTCAGGCTGGCACGCTCCACTGATGTACATGTTCTGAAGTTCTGACCCTTGACACTCTGTGAATAAGTGTAGCACTCGCTAAGTAACTGTAAGATCATCCTTATTCAGCTGTCAAGTTTAGGTTTCAGGTATGCATATTTATATCCTAATTCTGAAAATTACTGCTGATATCGTGAAGTATGAAGGGTCTGTCTACTCAGAGCTCATCTTAGGACTGGAATCTTTAGAAGGATCAGTCCATCTCTGTAGACAGCAAAATATATTTCAGAAAAATCTTCTCTTTCTGTACTTTTAGATGATTAATTTCCTATTTAGATTTATGAAAAAGCATCATTAAAGCCAGATGCCTGTTAAAATAACACTCTACGGATTGATGATTTAATATATGTTTTCTTTGTTTGCATATGCTGTGTCTCAGTAAATAACTGGGGGGAATCTCCTTGTGTATGGCTGTAAGCGTCCCATATGTATCTACATGTTTTGAAATAAAACTAATTTGGAAAAAAATATTTTAAGGAAAAGTTGCTAACAGAAGGTAAATGGTTTTACTGCAAATTTCTGCTTCAAGTACTAGGATGACATGCTTTTTTTCAGCTTTATACTGAGATCTCAAGAGATACTGTATTTATTAATTTGATATTAATTAGAAATGAGAGGGGAATTTGGTAGGTTTAGACTTGATTAGATTCTCCAGAAAGACCCAGATAGCTCTAATGTAGAGAGAAGAGCCTAAAACTGCTTTGTATTCCTTCTGCACTCAGTAGCAAAGCAACTTTTCTACGAAATTTCTATTTTTTAATAATTTGGGAGCCTCAAATTTTTTTTCATGTCACTATTGGTATGAGTATTCACATTGAATCTGATACTGTTGCATGCAACTTCACTTGAAGTCAGCAAGAGGTGATGATTTGATGTAGAGTCTGGCAGTGTCTGAGATTACGCTGGGGGCAAATCATTTGAAGTAGTGTTGGATGGTGCTGGATGGGGTCTCCTCTTTGCTGTTTCTGTAATGAAGATCTGCATTCTAGTGTACTGTATGATTTTACTGAAAGCACACAATACCTTCCAAAAAGGCCTGATGGTGAGAGATTGTGCATTTCCTGACAGCCATGACAAAACAATTCCAGCTGTTCTTGAGAGGCACCTAATGCTGTGCTGCAAATTGCTATTTTGTACATCTTCTTTAGGATTTAAGTGCGGTGATGATTATTTTGCAGTATCATTTAACTGGTTCTTGTTAAATAGTTGTTAGCACAACAGGCAGTTTTGTTAATGCTGTTTTTGTTTGTAATCTTCTAAGGTTGTGCTGGTGAGATGGAACGAACCATTCCAGAAATTAGCAACCTGTGATGCAGATGGAGGAATATTTGTTTGGATACAATATGAAGGCAGATGGTCTGTGGAGCTTGTGAATGATCGTGGGGCACAGGTTGGTATGCATGTTTTTTCTGCAGTTGAGAGTGATCAAGTCCTGAGAGGCAAAATGAAGAGTACAATGAATGGTGAAAAGCACAGGAGAAAATGAAACATTTCTTTATTGAAAGGAATATGCAAGAATTGTCACAAAGGCACTTTGCAAGGACAGTTGCTTTATCCAGTAGCCATGACATGAGAGCTACAATTGGCCTCATAGTTGCCCTATCTAGTTCCGTGTACTTCTACCTTTTATTAAAACAAAACAATTCCTACGTGGCCCATATATCTATTTTCTTGTCTTTGATATGTTAAGGTAAGCGACTTTACATGGAGCCATGATGGGACTCAAGCACTTATCTCCTATAGAGATGGATTTGTGCTGGTTGGTTCCGTCAGCGGACAAAGACACTGGTCTTCGGAAATAAACTTGGAAAGTCAGATCACCTGTGGCATATGGACTCCAGATGATCAACAGGTAATGGGGCTTTTAGAGGAATTAGTTGTGTTGTATTGATATTCTACCTCTTAAAAAGTTGTTAAGTAAAATGGTCACTTTGTAATAACAGTTTCCCTCAAAACTGGTGCTCCCACAGATAATGAAAATGTGATTCATCCTGTCATTCTCATTTGACAAATATGATAACCTACCTAGTTACCTATCATCACTTTTCACCGAATCACACACAGTCTTATTCTAAGTTAGTTGTTTAAGACAGGAATATGTAATAAATGAGAAACTGACATCATCTGCCTGGACCTCTGCAAAGTTTTTGACACTGTCCTTCACAACATCCTTGTCTCTAAATTGGAGAGACACAGATTTGACAGATTGACCGCTCAGTGGATAAGGACTTGGCTGGACAGTCGCACTCAAAGAGTTGCAGTCAATGGCTCAATGTCCAAATGGAGAGCGGTGACAAGGTCAGTCACTCAGGGATCGGTGTTGGTACTGAGGCTGTTTAACATCTTTGTTGGCGTCATGGACAGTGGGATTGAGTTGCACCCTCAGCAAGTTTGCTGACCACACCGAGCTGTGTGGCGTGATCGACACACTGGAGGGAAGGGATGCCATCCAGAGGGACTGTGACAGGCTTGAGAGGTAGGTTTGTGCAAACCTCATGAAGTTCAACAAGGCCAAGTGCAAGGTCCTGCACATGGGTCGAGGCAATTCCAAGCACAAATACAGGCTGGGTGATGAGTGGACTGAGAGCAGCCCTGTGGAGAAAGACTTGAGAGTAGTAGTGGATGGAAAACTGACTATGAGCCAGTAATATGTGTTCATAGCCCAGAACACCAACCATATCAGGCTGCATCAAGAGACGTGTGGCCAGCAGGTCAGGAGAGGTGATTCTCCCTCTCTACTCTCCTGTGACCTCACCTGTAGTATTGCATCCAGCTCTGAGGCTCCCAAAATAAGGAGGACATGGACCAGTTTGAGCATCCCTCCTATGAAGACAGACTGAGAGAGTTGGGGTTGTTCAGCCTGGAGAAGAGAAGGCTCTGAGGAGACCTTGTAGTGGTCTTCCAGTATTTAAAATGGGCCTACAAGAAAGTCGGAGAGGGACTTTTTACAAGGTTCTGTAGTGATAGGACAAGGGGTAATGGCTCTAAACTGAAAGACAGTAGATTTAGATGAAATGTAAAGAAGAAGTTCTTCGTTGTGAGGGTGGTAAGACACTGGCACAGGTTGCCCAGAGAAGCTGTGGCTGCCCCCTCCCTGGAAGTGTTCATGGCCGGGTTGAATGGGGCTTTGAGCAACCTGGTCTGGTGGAAGGTGTCCCTGCCCCTGGCAAGGGGGCTGGAACTAGATGACCTTTAAGGTCCCTTCCAACCCAAACCATTCTATTCTATGAATTGTATCCTTAATTTGGTGCTACAGCTATCTTGAAAATTAATTTCAGCAGAGATACAGCCTGGACTACTAAACATCTGACTTGTCATTTCTGTATACAGTTGTCCAGTCTGCACTTGCAGCAAAAGCAGTTCTAGTGCAGATATGGTTACGTTTGCCTTCACATGAGCAAATAGATCCAACTGATTGAGTGTCAGAGATCTCTCAGCCTTACGCCAACAATGTAATTTAAAAGTAGGCCATTTTTCCAACCATTGAGTCCAAAACTTGCTGAGCTTTGAAAAAGCCAATTAAAAAATTCTTCTTTACTATTTTTCTGAAGAAGTATATGATATTTGTCACATCACCACTTACAGCAGGGCGTGAGCTAGCCCATTGTTTTCATTTGCAGAATTTACAATGGCCCTTTGCCATTCATGTTGAGCTTACTGGAACAGTCTTTCCCTCCACATGCTCGCTGTTATTATGGTTAATGTCTGTATAATATTAGTACTGAAGGAAATGTTGGGGGTAGAATAGTACAAAAAGAAGCTGTGTTATAAACCCAACTAGATTATTTTCCTTCCTTCATTTTATACCACCATGAAAGATGCTGGTTCAAGACTCAATGTACCACTGACTTTAATGTAGAATACTATAAATTCATCCAAGATAGAGTTATTTTGGGAAGTGCTAGTGAAATGTAACAGCACTAATAATATGCATTTCTGCAGCAGCATCTAATAATTTTAGAGTGCTCTGCAAAGAATAATGAATTAATTATTGCAACACTGCTCTTTAAAGCCAGGGAGTATAACTGCCTCTTTTTGAATCTGGGGAAATATAAATCTTGACAATAAATAATTTACTTGAAATCAAGAGGAAAAGACAAGCAGCAGAAGTAGGAGGGGAAACGAAGATCTAATAGCTCTCTGTCCTATGTTTTAAACATGAGGCTGTCCCATTTGTGTGATACTCAGTTGTTGCTGCTGTATTTGGAAATATCTTCACTTGAGTGTTTAATTTGGGGTGACTGGCTGCCTTTAATTCAATTTATCCAATATGTTTGTACTTTCTAATCTGGATGCTCCAACAGTGGTTGTTCCAGGAAACAAACACTTGTTCAGTGTCCAGATAAGCACATTTGAACATAATGGCCAATTCCAGCTATGTGAAAAACACTTGCTGGAGTTACAGACTCTGCTGCTGACAAACTCACTGAAATAGAGACCAAAACCAGCCACAAGCTTGATGTTGCTCTGCACAGTTCTCCTAACTATGGGGTTTGCATGTTAAGTGATGATGGATCTTTGTACTGTTCTCCAGAGTTGGTGGAAAGAAGCAATCTTCTAAATTGTATTTAGATATATTTGCCTCTGGAGGCACAAATACCTCACTGAGATACTAGACAAGAGACTATGCTTAATTCAGATTAAAAATATCCAATTGGAGTGGAAGAACATTGCATATATTACTCACAAATAAGCACATACAGGAATGAATACCCTTACTAGCTTCTTATCTAGGTTCTCTCCTCATTTGTATCTGTGTAAATGAAAACAGAATATTATTCTAGTCTAGAGTAGCTTCAGCACCTTCCCTTTTGCCTAATGTAATGGACTTGTCAGTACAGTGAGTGAAAGATAAATGTCAACATTTAAATTTATATTTTCATACTATTCTTTTTGTCACCCCTCTGGTACCATGATTATTGATAGTGAAAATATTCCTGGAAAATGTTACACTCCATGGTCTCATGACCTTTAAAACAACTAAATTGGAAAGTTAAATTTCCAAGGGGAATCTATTGTTCAGTATCAGTTTTCTATTGTCCTGGTAAAAATTTGCTCAATATAGTCTGTCTGTTCACCTCACTCTTCAATTCTCTTAACTTTCTCCCTCAGCCCTCTGCTTCATGCATCCTCCTCTTTTCTTCAAGTCTCATTTTCCACCTTTTCTCCTATTTGTCTATTCAAAACCAGTAGTCTATCACCTCTGTCACTCCTCACCATGGCTCTGTGGCAGCTCTGCAAGGGGAGGGTAATTTCCTACCACCATCTTTCTGTTGGAGGCAAGAAATGGTTGGAGCTACAGTCTTGCCAACTACCTTCTCATTTGACAGAGCATGTGTGGCCTCTGGGTTTGTGTCCCTGCTGTGCATTGACAAAGACTTGTAAGTAAAGCACCCAAGGTAGTGGCTGATGCCACCTGTGGTTGAAACTCCGCAGTTAATGCTTCTCAAAGTCTTTGAAAGCCTACAGATGGAATGAGAGCTAGAGAGATGGCCAGGGTGGAGTACAGTCCTGCTGCAACTGAGCATATGGTTATCTTTTAAGTGATTTGGTATGTACTTAGCCTTGGTGAAGTTATTGGCTGGTTTTATTAATACTAGATGCAACTGTTACGTATTTTCTTTTAGGAAGAGAATGTTACCATTCTTTTCTGTGGCTCAGTTGTTTTTCAGGATTTCTTGAGCTCTTCTTGTTTGTTGGGGACAAACTTACTGTGTCTGGACAGTTGGTACAATCTGGTTGACTGCAATACTTTCTTTCTCAGCATCGTATGTCACCAGATGATCTTCTCATAAAGGTCACTGGCAGATTTTTTCTGTGGTTCGCACTCAGGTCTTGAGTCTGGACTTTGAGCTATGGGCTGCTTTACCCAATTCAATACATAGGCCGTTTGACTGTGATTCTGCATGTTTATTGTAGAGGACTAGAAGTTAATTTTCTCTCATTTCATTGTGTGTCTGTAGTCTTGCTCATCTAGGTGTTTCCTGCTCCTGTACACTATAACTAGAGCACTAGTCTGGCCAAGGCAGAGTTCCTCGTTATACCAATGGCCTCTTAGGAATAATAAACAAATACACACAATAGGAAGACTTGACAGGACTGGGTACTCTGTATCTCAAGCAGAGTGCCACACTTGGGTTAAACTCAGATGGATGGGATCACTCAGGAGTGTGACCTTCACTTCACTGTTTTGAAATGTTTTTTTTTCAGGGCTACAAGAGGCTGTAGTAGAGCCTACTTCCTTGGGGTTGGGTGGAGTATTCTTCTGGTGAGAAGGTGCATCTAGGATCATGTAGGGATGAAAAGCATATTTGAAATTCAAAGTAAGTTTGAAATATCAGAGAGTGCTGTACCCTTCTGTGGTGTCATACCACGCTTGTTTGCAAAGAGGGAGTGTACCTACCGAGTAGATTGAATGACTTCCCAAGTGAGAAAAACTCGAGTTTTGTCTAGCCAGAGGGTTTGTTTATAATTATAGAAGCAATGTCAGTAAATAATTGAGGATTTTTCCTAAGCCCACAAGTCATATACAATATCTTTCCAGTGCTTCATCTCCCCTCTTGTGTGCTTGCTCAGCTCCTAGTGACATTTTTCTATCGACTTCAGCTGCCCTTGGTCCACCCTCTCCCTCTCCTTCTCCCAGATTTTACCTATTAAAGAGGCTTATCTCTGTTCACAATGGAGAAAGGCACAGTGTCAGAGAACTGGGCGAGAACTGTAGAGGGATCTGATTATCCTCTTTATAATATAATGTAACTCCCTGGACTTTGTTGGGGTTGTTTCTATTGCTGTTTCTATGTGTGAGAAGGGAATTAGAAGGAAATCAGTCTCCAATAGAGGGAAGCCTTGATG